ACTAGCTGGAGCAACGCCCATTCCAAGGCTGTGGATTTACGTGAAAATTATGCCCATGGGCAGTCGCCATGGGCGGGCTGAAATGGTTTCCTTCAGGCATGTTTCAGCCGTAGTCAACGTCTTGGCTGGGTTGGGTGCTTCTAACATATATTTTGTGCAAATTGTAATTTAAACATTTTGGAGCAGAGCCAAGTAATAATTTGTTTTCCCGACTATTGCCGAGGCTGCTTTTGTATTTTTCTGTATTTGTTGTCTTTCTGTACTTTGAAATTGATGCGCTTCGCTGCACGAAAAACAAGGGAAGCCAAGGAAAAGCCATTCTTATCACATCCTTTGGCTGCGCACAGCATTTTGTAGCCCTCGAACAACAACATGACAGTCAAGTGTTGCAGTTGCGCGCAATTATTCGAATCCCCAGCCAGAGGTCTGACTCTGCGCGGATATTGTTGTGGGAATTTCTTTTCGAATCGTTTGGCGCAATAAATTCTATTAAAATGCAATTTGAAGGGTTTGTGATTTTAAATAATGCCAAAACAGTGCTGGGTTAATGCAGCAGGCAGTTTTTCTTGCAGTTCCTATCCTTTCTATTGTTGGTTATCCTTGCCCTAGAGATTTCAACTGTGCCACAAATTCGTTTTCGGATTTTCGTTTTACTTTCCATGCCACTGCAGATGGAAATTTATGCAAGGATGCTTCTCCAGATGCCTCCCGGTGAGTTTGTAGGCTATTCATGATATTTATAGCTTATTCGCTGCCAAACCAACACGCCAGGCTAATTGAACTGCCATTGCAATAGAAAATTGACAAAGAAGTTTCAGTTAAGCTAGTACACGACATCATAGCTCCAATAAATTTTCAGCTCTTTAGGGTATTTAGATTTATAATCTATACACTACATTCAACTGTTTCTGCTTGCCGAAAAACAGACAATTGGCAATCTAGGAAATACGTTGATAAAAATAGGCTATCATTTATATGTTACTTACTTATAAGTCAGTTCTTCTTCTGCAGAAGAGCTCTCACGCTTCCTCTAGGTTCTGCTGCTAGCTTTTCCGGCCTTATATAACGTAGTTTTATAACTCATGGAAAACCAACCTGTTGCGCTTAGCTCGCCCTAATTTTGACGAACCTGAGTGAAATTTCTACGCCTTCTATCATGTTGGGATTGAATGTATATTTAGATTGTTATCTTTTCAAACCCAAGCCGGTTTTTTCACTTAACTATTAGACATGTTCTCGCTCAAAAACGGACTGATATGATATATTATTACAAAATAATCAGCTCTTTTCATTTAACTAATACATATACTCGAACTCTATGATACAGTATTTCAAGGCTGATAAGATTTGTTGCATACTGTAGCTTAATTTTCGACCGATTGTTCCCATGGAGTCTCAAACATTGAGCACACATAGAGCACAAATAAATGCCGGGCTTGGTCATATCTTGATAATATTGTTCATTCAATAACAGCTGCTATCAAACATTTTACATAAAATATGTTAGTATATGTAAAACAATTTTTTCAGCTTAACATTTCAACATTTTCACAACATATTTCAAAGCTAAAGTAAAAATAATAATAATAAATTTATCAATGACAATGAACAAAACTACCGATAAACACAAATGTTCAACATTAACGCTTATCTGGATAGCCAAAGAATAGTTACATAAATAGTTAAATTTATGACAATGTTGCATGCAAATTTATCAAAAATTAGTTCTCTGTTTGCTGATAAAACATAATCGGGCTATAAACACAAATTTAACATTCGTTGTTGTCTTTTGTTGAGAACAATTTTAATAATTTGAACAAGTAAAAGTGCTCTAATCGTGTTCCTTCCTTGAAAGAATGTACTATTCGTCCAATCTCATTAGAGCACTTTCCCAGTTAAAGGCTTATATATGTGTAATATTAATATCAAAACAGAAAAAATGTTGTTTTTTAAATATTTGGCATTCCAGGCTTAAGCCTGTTTAAGCCCAGTTTGCAACCTTGGTATAAAGCAGATTGCTCAAATTGAAATGTAATTCGATTGCATTGGGCAACTTAATTCAAAGTTGTGTTAAAGGTGGCCTCCGAATATTATTAATAAGCCCCTTAAGCCCAATAAATGGCCAACAATGTAGTTATAGTTGTTGTTTGTGCACGGTTGTCCGTGTCGCTGCGTATTTTTTATGGTTATTGTCTTATTGTAATGACCATTAAAATTGGCATTGTTATGGCCATGACTATTGTTATTCCCGTTTTTGTTGTTGCTGGCTCCCACAGACATTGAATGAAAAGCGCAACAGCAGGCGGCAGGCAGCTGCGATGTCAGCTTAATAATTACAACGCACGCACACACACACACACACGCTTACACACACACACACACACACACATACACACAGACTGCAACTGCAGTTGCATCTGCAAGCAATTTTAAAATGAAAACCCAGAAGAAAGCGGGAAAAGCTGAAAAGCGCAGGGCAAACTGGCAGCCATTTGCACGTCGTCAGTGTCGACACATTAAAATAAATGAGACTTTGCCGTAAGCAGATCTGCTGTTGTTGTTATTGTTGCTGTAAAAATGGCAGAGCATTTTCACGTTTACCATGCAAAATTACGCGAAAATTACAATGCACAAAAGCATCGAGCGACATTCAGCTCAGTTCAGTTGAGCTCAGATAGTTCTCTTAACGGATCCGCTCCGTCCGTCCGTTGACTCTTTTTACGCATTTGCATTGCATGAATGAAAATTGCAGGTTGCAAGTGGGTAAAGGAGTGCCAATTGGCAGACTGACCTGGTTGTCAGGTTCGTCAGCCTTAATTACATTGAACAACTTCATTGGAGATCCAACGAGCCAAGCTATGTTTGCCATTGCTGGAACCGCTCGTCAATGTTGACCAAATTGTAAATTGAATACTTTGAACAGAGATGATTGCACGATGCATTTGGGCTGCCAAAGATTTCACACTCTCGCAAAAACTTGATTTTCGTGCAATGCTTTTAAGATTGTGACTACTAGAATTTACTTTCCTATAGAGCCTCTTTGGCGTTCCTTTCAAATTAACTATTGCTATTATATATATATACATACGCAAATATAATTTATAAAATACTGTCAATTAATAATCATGTTATTGATACTCATTGATTATTGGTTAAATGGTTTTTTTTGCAAATTTATGTAACATGCATACAATATTTACCTCAAAGTTTCACAGAAAATCTTGTTTAAGCCAACTATAGGCTTGCCCTTGCAATATTTTCGCTCTCGCTCTTTATTGAACTGCATTAAAGCGTCTCAAAATCGTATTCCACTGGGTATCAATGGCAGCAGCAGCTTTAAAATTCCCACATAAACCATAAACCATAACCCTAACCCAATAAACCACTTTCAGAGGGTGTTCGTTACGTTGACTGTTGCTGCTGTTGCTGCTGCTGGCTTCAATTTCACACCGCCAACAAGTGACAAGCAAACGAACAAACACACACACACACACACACACACACACACACATACACACACACACACACACACACACACACACATACGCGCACAACTATATACACAAACACACACTGGCAACGCATCAGAGTTGGCTGGCAGCATGCCACAAAAATGCTGCTGGCTACAACAAAAGCAAACGGAAGTCAACAAAGGCGCAATATGGCAAAACGCGAAGGGAAAAACAACAACAGGAGCAGCAGAGAAATTTGATCATAACGTGGGCGTCACACGATTTAACGCCCCGAGAGTAGACTATGAATTTTTATGGTGAAATTTGCCGTTTTTAATTTGGACGCGCCTCAAAAAATAAACAAAACGCCAAAAAAAAAAAAAAAAAAAAACCACCCACAAAATACGCAAAAAACTGTCAACAGGAGGCAAAATGGCTGTGGGTATGGTCATATTTTCTGCCCTCGGCTGCCGTGACACCTTCATGGAGTCCATGTCCATGTCCATGTCAGTCGTGCAATCCCTGCCGCTCATCTCCTCCCCGTAATAAAGCTCCCGACTTTCCCCCAGGCCGTCGCACCGGATATTTATGGCAAAAATGCAAAATTAATGATGTGTGACTTGAAAATTGTCGCTAAAAAATGTGCCAAATTAAATTTCGTCTGAGCTCAGGAGCCAAAAGCCAGCGAAGCGTTAAATTTCACCACCGCAGCATAAAATTCAATAAAACATTTCAGGCCCAAGCATCGTATTCCATTTACTTGGAACAGCTCCCACCCGATTCAGTCTCAAAGTCACAGAAATTTTCAAATGTTTCAGACAACCATCCTTGAATCCTTGGTTTGAAATCCAAACTACAAAAGTATCTGATTCTTTCAAAGCGCCATGTTTATATTTTGATCTTTACATTCTCAGCATAATCCCTTACTACTCTAGCAAACCCGCAATAGATGCCTTCTCGGCTGCTTATTGAACTTTTCTCTACTGTCGCTCTCTTGTTGTCTGCAATATCATCTGCAACTCGAAGTCAAATCCGATGACAGATCGCAAATGGTTTGCCTTTCGATTAGGTTTCCATTTAAGAAAACTATCAGAAATTAGTTCCATATATTTCGCTTGGGTAGATTACTTATTTTATTTTATTTTTATTCTTATATTGAATATTAAGTATTGAGAAAACTATTTATTTTTTTATAATTTTTATTGAGGCGCTTATTTAAATTAGGTAAACTCTCAAATTGTGATCTTTTGTTTTAGTTTTTATGAACTCTTCGAATTTATGCACTATAAATATAAAATCTAGAGACTTTAAATTTGGAATGTTGGTTCGCCTACCGATACCTATTTTATTTACCTAAAATCAATGAGATTCGATAGCCAGAGACACCAAATCTATTAAGCTCAATAATATCTTAGCTTGGTACTTTTGGTACTTGGTACACTCTCCAGATAGTCTAAAATATGATAATCGCCACTAATGCAGTACTGTGGGGTTGCAGAACTGGCTTCTATAATTTTAAATTTCCCATCTTAGATAGAAGAAAAAGAATAAAAAATTTCTGGACCTGTATTACAACTATAGAAGATGTTTTAGTACATTAACTAGAGCTTTCTTGGCACATTCTCCTTAAACTGCCCCATAACATTACCGGGTGGACTATAGTTGCAAACCACCCAGGTGCGATCAGCCCTGCAAAAGAAACAATTATAAAATATATAAGCAATCAAGGTGTCTGCAGCTTGTCTAATCCACCTGCGTGCCACACCCGAGCCCATCTCCTTACAGGCTTTCCAGATCAGCTGTGTAAAATGACCAGAGGTGGGCGTAAAATCGGGCTTATCGAAGTTAAAGGCATTGATCTCGCGGTACCACATGTCCACGGGCAAATCGCCAGTTACATCCATTCCACCAGACAGAAATATATTTTCGCCATATTTGGGCTGTGGACGATGCTCCATTGCGTTCTTATCACGCAGGTGCTGTGGATCAATAGGAATCGGTTAAGACTATCGATTAGATAAGAGGCAAACCCTTTCGTACATTGGCCCACTCCTGAGCATACTTGTTAAGATCGTTGTTAATCTTTAGCTCGGGGCAGCCGTGCATCTTCCGATATTTGTTGGTGGTGATAAATACATCGTTTAGGAATTTCTCATTGTTGGCTTTTGTATCTTGGCCAACAGGTCCGGGCGTACGCTCATGCGTTTTAGGTATCGGCGGCGGTCTCCTGGCCATGTATAATTTCGGGTGCACCCAGGTCCAGAAATCAAATCAACAACTTTTGAATGTTAAACTAATTTCATATTTTCTTTTTATTTGACAATGCGAAACATAAACAAGTTTTGTCAAATTCAGACAGGAATCTCTGACAATAAATTTAATAATAATTTACGATGAATCAGTTGTGAAATGCAAAGAGTTTAGGAACCGCCGCACACATTTAAATTGATTGTAACTCCAAAACCTTTTGCGGAGCTTACATCAAGTCACTTACCATAAGTACTAGAAATTTTATGTAATAAGTATAATTTTATCTGGACTTTCATCAAATGTGGAGGGCATTTTGCACATTGTACAACTAATTTACTTATTTTTACGATTTCAGAAAACGTTTGTCAATTTCTTAATTAGCCTTTGTTAGGCTGAATTATCTTTATAAGCCTTTTGTTTCCGACTAAAGCTAATAACGTGTCCCATATTAAGGCAAGGGTATTATCGTTTTGATTGATATCCAGATTAGATATTTCACAAACTCCAAATGACGAGAAGCTGTCAGTTGCTCATCCAACTCGGATATCAGTCACTGGCAGACACATAATGATTGGATTAACCCACATGACGTATGAGTGATGTATGAACATTTGCATTAGCATTGCCTCGCTACGGTTATTAATGAGTGCCGTTTCTTTCCACGACTTCAATGTGGCAGCCACAGCTGGGCGACACTAATTGCCAATTGAGTGAAGTAAAGTGACGTAAAGTCAGTTTCAGATGTTGGAGGCCATATTGCGAACATAAATTATTCGGCTGAAGAAGGGAAACTAGCGACAGTCCGAGTTGCAAACAGTTCTGTGATTGCAAATCCACAACATTTATTTTCGTGTTCTTGTCAAGGATTAAATAACCATGAAAATCTACCTTCTCTTCCTTAGCATTTTGTTGATGATATTCTTTCAGTAGTATTACGTTCCTCATGACTGACCGACTGTCTAGTGATCAATGTACATTCCAAATTAGGAGCTAGGAAGCTGAAATTCTCATTGATGGGGAAAAACGGTTGTAAAAACATTTTTCCTTACCATTCGAACGGCATCAAATATATCTTTTAAGGTCCTCTCAAATTTATTTAAAGGGTGTTGCACACTTTTCTGAATATCTAACCTTTCTTGGTGGAAACGACAGTCAAAGATTTGTTTGTGCGTAGTTTCTTTATAAAAATCCAAGCTTCATTAAAGGAACTTGTGGTTTTATTTAATACGTTTTGCAAACCTTTCGCAAAATCCAACCACCATAAGGGTCATATGTTGAATGAGTGAAGTTTCGGGTTTTGCTCATTCAAAAATATCCTGGCGAAAATTCATTTGAAACTTTTTTTACAATTCTCGAAAAGTACAAACCCCTGTGCGAGAAAATCATAATTTAACCTTAAGTGTTACTTTTTGTGTTTGTGTCGTTTTTGATTGTGTTGTTCACGATGTTATTTACTTGATTATTGATTGATTATTATTGATTATTTGGACATTCGCTTTAAGCGCCGACCTGTCAATCGTTTCAGCTTAAAGTCAGTCATTTGATTTAACTCGCCCATTACGAAGACTCAATTGCGATTCGCATCGGTAGACACACATTTCAATTCGCACACACAATATATTTGCGAATATGCCACAGAATACCGCATACAAAGCGTTAAACCAAAACCGTCGTTACTTTATGTCGATTTAATTAATTTCGCAAATTTGGTTTTCGCTTATTTATGTATTGTACGGGTAAACGTATAAATAAATATCAATAGAAATATATATATACATATATATATATATATGTACATATACTTTCGGAAAACATTTCGTTTTTGTGCTGCGTTTTAATGACAACCGCAGCATCTGTTGCCGGATGCACTCGATTGCATATGTACGGCAATTGTACGGGAATTCTACGGTCTGTTCAGGCATTGAAAATGCCAAACAATTAAAGCTAACTGCACAGAATTTCCATTGTATTTATTTTTAATACATGCCTAGAATTGGGTGACATGAGAAAAACACGTATTTGTATGTATAAATAGCAAATTGAACACGAATTCGAAGCTATGTTATATGATAATTCTAAAAAAGTAATTTTGTTCAATGAATATACCTGCATTTCAGGATTAAAAGGATTTAAATTGCTTCCACAACGTTAAGAGAGTCGAGGATAAGCTGCACCCAGTAAATATTTTCCATCACATTAGTTTTAAATGCAGTTCGCTTTAAATATTCATAATAAAATATTTCCTATTAACCCCTAAATCGATGGGGAGGAAGGGTATAAAATTGAAAGTAAAATGCTGACGACAGCAATTAAAGCTGATATCATTAATAAAAAACCATTAAGACCATATTTTCTAATACTAGTATATTCAACATATAGCTGAAAAATTTAAGGTCCACACCAGGTTCAAAAGCAGTTTTTCGCAGCCATTCCGCCGTATAACGAAAGCATAAACAGAAACGTACAGCGATTGACGGGACGCGCACTTTTACGCAAGTTTATTGCATCAGAACTCAAAGCCAATAAAACGGGGCCAGTCACTTAGCTGCAGACGGGTATTCGAGCCGGATATCGAGCTGATAGCTGGCCCGGTCTCCCGTGGCTTGTAGCCGGTAGCTGCACTTGTTAACCAGCTCAATTGAATAGACAAAGAGGGTCATTCGGTTCAGGTCATGCAACGCGCACGCCCACGCCCACGCCCACGCCCACGCCCACGCCCTGCTCAGGCTCAGGCACCTTTCAAAGGCTCAGGCAAACAGCAAATGGGAGCCAGAGCTGCAACACCTTTTTCCAGTGGCTACACTGGCCAAGGGGGCAGGTGTAGAGGGTGTGGTAGCTGCAGCTACAGTAGCAGCCGCCGCCGAAGTTGGTAATCCACTTTTGCCGCATTCGCTTCTTGCTGCGTTCATTTGAGCTGCCAAACATTTTAGCTTTTATGGCCCAAAGGGGCAAAAATATGGCAACACACAACCAGCCCACTCACTCACAAGCTTCCCCCTCTCCATGTCTACTCAGTTCTTCAGCTCACATGCCGTAAATGCAATTTCCAAAAATACTCCGCGTCACTCCAAAAAGTACGCTATGAAAAACACGGTACATGGCACATGAAAATTGTAGTTTTTATCGGCAGCTTTTTTTCTTTAAAAATTCGATGGCAAACGGTTTGAAAGATTTTTCCTGGTCATGTGCGAATGGAGAACGTAGCTCTAAGCACATAAACAATCTTTTTTGTTGGCCGAAAAGTTTTAAATGTCGTAAACGTTTTCGAACTGAACTATTCGGTTTTTAGACTGCTATCAATGGAGGATCAAGTGTTTTTACAATTGAAGTTGCCAAAGTACTTTTGATTTATATGGAGTTTTGATCAATCACTAAAAGCCAATCCCATCAGCATTCAAGTTAAGATAATGCGTTTCGGACGGTTATTTAGCTGTGCTTTCCTTTGCTTAGCGATATCTAAAGGTACGGATTCTTGATTAATTTCGATGTGTACCTTAAATATATAAAATTTGTGTAAAAAAGAAGTTCATACTTTTACAAATATTTGTTCAATTAAAGGCCTAACGGGGAATGAACTCTGAACAATGAACGATCTTTAATCTGTGTATGTTATACGAGAACCTACATATCAAGGTTTTTAAGCTATGCAATCTATAAATCGATATTTATCGATATTATATGTATAATGGGGGAGACATTAAAAAAACGGCAAACTCACTCTGGGGTTGGTATACTAAAATATATTTGGACAGACAAGCCTGACTAGATCGGCTAGCAGACCTGATCTGGGATAAGGTATCAGGGAACAACCTTCTGTGCGTTACATAAATTTCCAATAAATCATTGTACCTTTCCTTTTACCAATTTTGAATGGGTTCAGGGTATAGCAACCGAATAAATTAATTAACTTGATTATTCGACCATTTATCAGTGAGCCTCTGAATTTATGAATTATTTTGCTGAATTATCTAGATTTATAGTTTTAGCAAATGAATGTGTATTTAAATTCATCAGTATTCTGTGTATAAACTTTATCATTTAAATAAATTTCAAATATTTCACAAGCTGAGAGTGTCAAAAATGTATTCATTTCTTGTTGCCAGCTTAGGAAATTGTAAAATAAATTGAAATACGAGATGGGCATTTATCATTCTCACATTTCATTCAGTTTGTACGAGAAAGCTGAGTTGCATGACAGCAGCTGAGGCAAATTTCCAGTTGCGCCCCGAGGAAGTGGGCAGAGCCCGAAAAGCGACGCAACATAAAACTATCAACAAAATGCAGCTGAATTAAAATATTTATGTATTGTACGTGAGCCTCATGTTTATGTTCTATCATGTTGCCAGTCCTGAGACGGGGAGATGTGACTCTCTGGCTGTTGCTTCTGGCAATTTTGGCTGCATGAGAAATGGCGCTGCATATGAAATGCTAAAATTTTTGGATAGCCGAAAATGTGTGTGCAAATTTGTTTATTGTTTTAATAAATGTCAACATTCTGAAATTGCCAGCAATTAAAGACAAGCTCCGTGGTCCTGCAGTTGCAACAGCTGCAGCAGCTGCCACAGCATGTGGCAATCACACATTGCGTATGATAAATGCCGACTGCCAAATATCGAAATGCTGCCATCGACTGCATAAAACTTGCCAAAACTCCTTTTGTGGCCAGGCAAACCAAACCCAGAACCAGAACCAAACCCAAGAACTTGCGACCCCCACAATGCAATGACATGATTTATGACCGATACCGGAACGCAATGGATATTTTCCCTATGGCAGCGATGGACGCATTTCGTGTTCTATTTAGTGTCACGAAAATTCACAACACAAGAAAAGGCTTTTGTTTAGAGATCGGTTTCTGCTGCGAATATGAATTTCTAATCATAGAAATAATAGAATCCGATTTGATTTGACAATAAATAGATCTATTGTAATATGATTACATACTGTCAAGGCTGCAAGTCAGTTTTGAACAGAACCGTTTCGTAGTCGGAATTTCAATGGGGTTAAAGGGGCAGAAGGTGCTCCTTTTGCCCCATAATCATAGATCATTTTCCCAGTTATCAAGCAATCAATACAAATGACAACCTTTCTTACATT